AATTTACAGTCGCTGTTACCAAGCCCTAGTTATGCTTCAAACACAGATTTTAAATTGCCACTTGGGAACCTATTTTCTTATTTTTTGCAAATAGTTCTCACATTATTTTTCAATCTATGCCACAATTTATTTTCTAGTTGAAGTTTTTCCATGGTCATTAGTCTAAGGTTCAGATAACTGACAGGAACAAACACACTGTACCATGACTGGATTAGCTACCCTGCCCTTCCATTTTTTAATACTCTCTACTTCAAGTGACCAAATCATTTCTGACTGGATAAATTGCCAGATTTTCAATAGTTTCCCCATTTGATTAATGTTTGTTTTGGAAATACTGTGTAATAATAACATGGTAGAAATGAATCCATCTTGTTGTTGGCAGGTTGAGGGCTCATAGATCATTTTGCCTAAATCACCATGGCTTCTAAATCGTAGCAGTTAACAATTGATTAAAGCCAACCAATCAACCAATACATCTCTCCCGCAAATAAAAACAGTAACAAAAGCAGAAATTTAAAAAGTCATGTTTCTGGAGCTCTTTCTATAAAAAATACAGCAGCTTTAACTTCTCTAGAACCCTGGAGACCTAAGAAGCAGAGTTTGGAAGCCCCTGGTCCAGATTATTGAGAAGTTGTTTGTTTTCTTGCTCACCAAGATGAGATTTCTTACAATGAACCTCTCTTAAGAATTAAATGTTTCCCTTTCACAGCCAAATGTAGTAGTTTCCAAAGATGAATCTTGAAATAGCCTGCCAGAGTTCAGCAATGGGAGTAAGTGGACCATCAGGAAGGATCCGCAGTGTATAAAACCAGCAGAAATTGGGCATTGCAAAGGGAAAGGCTTGGTGTTCAACATTTGGAGAATGTTTCTAATTTCCATTTCACCAAAGGTCTCTCGCATGCCCAAGGATCAATAGAATTTTATCCACTTGAGTTTTTTACTATAATATTTGCACACTTTTTATTAGTTGGGCTCAGGTGTTAGGGGAGGGATCTGTTCAACAATTCTCTCTCATTTGAGTGGCAGATAAAGTATTGAGAAGATGATTAATATGTCAGGGATCAAAAACCAAGCCATTATCTAAGGAATTATGTTTCTGATCGATTCACTGTGAAATCCCTCAAATCATTTCACTTGTGCGTGATTGTGTCAAGTACAGCTAGTGCCTTAACCGTGAGTGATGAGGCCTTTTCTCATTAGCTGGTCTTGTTGTCCCTGAAATCAAGGTAGAAAAGAGTTAGTAGCTGAAAATATGGCAGGGATCAAATAGGAGATGCAAATTTTCCTATCTGGTATGGAAATTAGTCCTATCAAGAAACACAAAAAATGTTCACAATACCAGTGCTAACTTAACATTTACTGAAGGTTATTTAAAATGTAATTGACAGCAACACACGGTACTATTATTTTATAGGCAGAGTGAGAAACATGAAATTCTCATGTGATAGGATCCAAAGAGTCGAGTACTACTAGAATAGAGAACCAGGTAGCCTTGTTTACTATGGAGAGGGGAAACCCACATAACCATATTTTCCAAATCTTTTAACATCCAATAAGAAGAAGGTCTGTCATGTCCATCCTGTGTGGACAAGATGATTCGGGGTCCTAAAGGCGCTACTAAAATATACTCTCCCTTCCCAAATTTGCATAATACCATACTTCCGTTCTTACTAACCTAAAATGACCACAACTAGTGTCATTTCGTTGGGTTCAGCCACAAATGTAGGAGTATTGTCTCCTTGTGCACTCTAAAAGTGTACATGCAACTTATGAGAAAAGGAAAAACTCTCGGGGACATCTCTAATTTCTTTTATTTCCACAGTCACATGAATTTGATCTAGTTCAGAAGTTCCAGATACCCTGTGAGAGACAGAGATTGGCAGAATTCAGTAGCAGATGAGAACAGAAGAAGGCTCCCGAGAGGGGTGAGAGACAGATTTCAGTGAGGCAAGGCCTTGACAGTGGACTGCAAGCCTCTCCATAGCCAAGGCCCGGACTTATGCACCTTTGTATCTTCAAGACCCTAAACTTAATACATATGCAGTGAACAGATGAACAACTGCTAAACAGACTTATGTAGGAAGTGGTTACCAATGCAGGGAAAGAGATAATGGGATAGAAAACAAGAATAAAGCAACGATGTGTATGCACTTAGCTCACCTTAAGGCTAAGTAGTCAGAAGGAAACCAGGATCCAGAAACAACTACTGAGACAGTTGTGGTTTTTTTGATGGAACCAAGATGACTGGAGGAGCAAGGAGGGAAAATATGGCCAAAGGAAAAAGTGTTCATAGAGGTACTTTCTTCTGAATAAGAAAACCCTATCCTTACTTCTGTACAGTGTTGCTTTTATATGTTTACTCCCTAATGATGTTATTGCAAAATGCATAAAAAATATGTTTTTCCAAGTAGAATATGAAGTGTGTAACTTCATGCTTATAAAAACACACATGAGAAAACACATGTGTGGTTATGACAGTAATCCAAAGGATTATGTTATTTGCAGTTAGTTGATTTTATGTATGCATATCTACTTGTCTACATGTGGGTTATGTGTGTCTTTCTGTCTGTTATACAATTTTGCAGAGAACATTTGGATCATGAATGCAATTAGTTTTTACCTCCTTTTCGGGTATAATGGTGTATGCTGTAGCATTTGATTCCATAGTGTGATTTAGTTTTATGTATGTGAGAAAATGTTTGTGCACACAAAGGTGAACTTTGATTTTCAACTTTGTGTAAAAATTTGCTTTTGGAGCTTGTAGGGTGTTGTGTAAGCAAGCCTCTGAGATAATCTGTATCATGCTACCCAGAGCTGAGGGGTTTTGTGAGAGTAAATAAGGTGAGCTTGACATCATTTTTCTTTTCAGCAGAGCATTGGCAGGAGTTAGGTATGACTATATGGGATCTAACTTTGGTTGGAAGTAAGGAAAGAGGAACTGATGGAAATAGGCAAACTATCTTCAAATTTTCTCTTGGTTCATTTGTTCCCTTCTTTAGCTGATGGTGGGTATTCACAACCTTCAAGTGGATGTAGAGTGGTTTCTTGCCTACATATTTAGCTCTCTTTTGAATTTTCCTTTTGCTCTAAAATACTCTTGAAAAATTCCAAACCAATAGTCTCCTAACTTAATTTTCTCCTTTTCTCTAATGTTTTCTGACTGGCATATCACAAAGAAGGCAAAAGATATAATATAGCCTCCTTAAGGTGTAAACAGTGAATCACAAGTACTTACTGAGTTTCCTTGCCCTCCACTGGTGCCTGGAATGCTTCCTTTGTCCTTACAAATCCATTCCTAGACATATTTTTAGAAAGTGGAAAAAAAATTGAATGTGAAAATCTCTACCCTAAGAAAGCATAAAGGCAATCTAAAGATAAGAAAAGATGCCAGAGGGTTCCTTAAGTTTTAATGCCCCTTTGCTTGTGGTGTTTAAAAAAAAAAAAAAAAAAATCTGCAACTGGAAGCATTCCAGGCCAGACAGACTCACAGAGCAGGGCAGGAAATATGCAAAGCTGGTGCTGTCTGGGAGAACCCAGCCATAAATTCACACTTTAGAACTCGGCCCTTTTTTGAGGCAAAGAAAAGAGTCACTATCGTTCTCACTTAGCGATGTATACTCCTGTACACACTGGTGTGCATCTGCATCAGGTATGAAACCTGAGGAGCCCGGGTCCGAAGATCAGATCTAGGGTGCGGTTAGGGAGATCAGCTTCGTTCTCTAGTTGTGAGCTGCCAGCTCGTGGCACTGCCTCAATTTCTCTGCGCGCAGGCGTTAGAGCCTGAGAAGGACAAATTCAGCAACTCCCAAAGAACCCTTCGCGTCGCATTGGAAACATTGGCGCTTAACCGCCAAACCGCTCCAAACCCGAGCCCTGGGCTAGCCCGGGACAGCTTGTCTCCGGCCAATACTTCCGCGCCCCGCCGGGCGGCTGCCACTGGCGCCCCCAAGCGCCGCGCGCCCGCGCGTCCCAGCCGCTCTCTGCACCTCCTTCGACCTTCTCAGACGCAAACCTGACCTGGGGAGCCTGGGGGTTGACAGGAAAGGCTTCCCTGGGAATTCCCAGAGGCTAGGGAGGAGGCAGGGAGCTGAGGAAGGCAGGATCTCAAAGCCTTCCCTGCCTCCGTTCATTCCTGTTTGGGATTTCCTCTTCGCAAAGGGGGCAGCTGCCTGGCACAGTGGAGATGCCCGGTAGAGCTGGGAGACTGAAACCCTCGGAGCCTACTCAAGGCACCCCATTTCTCCCAACCCCGAGGAGACAGAAACGTACGCTGCGTGTAGGGTGGGGTCGTGGGGTTGGGGGGTCCAAAAGATGGAGACTAGAAAATTCCAAACGTCTCCCGGGTGAGAGAATAGGAACATCTTTCCCCTTTTTCTGGTCCTCTTCTCCCCAATTCCAAAGCCCCCGTCCACGTCAGTTGGGCACCCCCTGGCACAACATAGCGCAGCCTCACACACACACACACACCGGGAGACACAGACTAAAACCCAACTTGGGCACTTGAGCGTACACAGACCGCAGCATTAACGCCCAGATGCTCACTTCTCGAAATCTTCTATGGGGCTTTTCTAGGGCTCCTCTAGGAGTCAAGCACTGGAGATGGGTTGGGAAACCTAAAGAAGGGTGCTGGCGGTCCCCAAGGGCGGTGGCAACCTGCCCCTCTCCACTTCCACTTTTGCCCTCCGTCTGTTTGTAAAGGTCTTTCCACCCGCTGGAGCTGTTGTCAGGCATTAGGAGGCCTCACGTTCCTTTGGTAATGAATCCCATTTTCTCAATTGTTGTGGAGAGCAGAGGGGTGTGGGAGGGGGACAAGAGGGAGAGGCAGGAGGGGGGGCGCGCGGGGGGGGAAGGAGAGGAGTGGGGCGGGAACGTGGGGGGTGAGAGAAACGTTTTCACTCTTTGTCACTCTTGAATTGGGGGCGGAGGAAAAAAAAAACCCACTGTGGGAAGCTATAAAAAGCAAAGGGGGCGGCGGTGAGAGAGCAAACGGAGAGAGCGAGACCGCGCGGCGCGCACGACCGCTCCCAGGGCATTGCTGCGTCGCCGGCAGCGCTAGGCTGCCGGGTGTGAACCGGGGAGCGACACTTCGCCGAGACTGTGCCCGCGCCCGGGGGAGACCTCGGCTCTCCTCAGACCTCGAGGGTCCGGTCTGGGGCGTTCCTGATCCCCCTTATAGCGCCCAATATCACTGTGTCCTGCAAGGGTTGAGACATAAAGGGTCGGGAAGGAAAAGAGGAGAGAAAAGCAACTGAGGCCGAAGGAGAAGGAAGCGGTGTGGCCCTCCAGAGCCAATTAAGAGAACTGGACCGCGGAGATCCGGCGGGAACGCGGTGGTGCGGGGCAAGGAGCAACTGAAGCGGTGCGGTCTGTGGGGCTGGGTCTTCTTGCACCTCGGGTCACGCCTCCTTGGCGAGAAGGCGCCTCGCCTTTGATTGCTTCCAGTTCCTGCAGAACTTCCTGCCCTGGTGGAGAAGCGGGTCTTGCTTGGGTCGCACTCGCTCTTGGTCTGAGGCGTGAGACTGAATTCACACGGTGCTGGGCCCCCGAAGCCAAGTTGGGTTGGGGGAACAGAGCCTGCGAGCCCCCGCACCCCGAGTGAGGGGCCCGGTGTTGGGGTCCTTCCTCCCCTTGCACCCGCACCCTTCCGGGCTTTGCGCCTCCCCGGGGACCCCTCGCCGGGAAATGGCCGCGTTGATGCGGGGCAAGGACTCGTCCCGCTGTCTGCTCCTACTGGCCGCGGTGCTGATGGTGGAGAGCTCACAGCTCGGCAGCTCGCGGGCCAAACTCAACTCCATCAAGTCCTCGCTGGGCGGGGAGACGCCTGCCCAGGCCGCCAATCGATCAGCGGGCACATACCAAGGACTGGCTTTCGGCGGCAGTAAGAAAGGCAAAAACCTGGGGCAGGTAGGAAAACACTCCAAATACACTCTATAGTCAAGAGCGGTAGGCACCAGAGCTCTAGAGCGCGTAGTTTGCCTTTGCACCCCTCAACCTTTCAAGTGCGCCCCCAGGTGTGGCGCGCCCCGCAGCTGGGGAGGGGTTCCCGGAAGCAGCTCTTCGTGGGTGGGGGTGGCTGGTGGTTGCCGGTTCTGGAGGGCGTGGAGCGGGAGGGTTAGGGTTCTCCCACCTTTGCTTGAGGACATGGGCAGGTACAAGATCCAGTGTGTACTAGTGGGGAATGGTCCTTCTCCAGATTTACCACGGCAATGCTGATGATAATGTTAGTAGCAGCTAACACATAGCAACGATTTTGGGTCAGGCACCGTTCTAAGCGCTTACATATATTTAATCTTCACAACCCTATGAACTAGGCGCGGTTACTTTTCCCCATTTTGCCAATGAAGAAATTGAGTTACGGAGTGATTAAGCAATTTGCCCAAGGCACACAAGCTAATGTTAAGTGGCAGAGTGGGATTCCAATCCGAACAGTCTGGGTCCAGATCCTGGTCTCTTTACTGTTACAGTTCACAATCTGGAGGGGGAATTTACTCCCTTTCAGGTTCTGTTCCCCTCGCAACCACTTTCTTCCTTCAAAGAAGTGAGGTCACAGACAGAAAACTTCAACAGACGCGCCATTTCTCACTTCTGTAGCCTCGTAAATAAATCATCCAGGAGGGAGCAATATGATGAAGAACAGTGACAGCATCGTAGCGCGGGCGACCGGAGTGCCTGCGATATAGCAAGGTGGACCCCGGAGGCATTCTTGCAAAAGGGCGTCTCTCTGTCACACAGACATATAAGATTGACAGTCGCTTGCAATGAGTTACACAAACATACACACACCGTAAAACGAACCTGCACACTCGGCACCCGCTGTGGCCGGCGCGCAATGGCCAAGAGAGGGGGGCCTTGTGGGCGCCGGGAACCACGACAGCTCCCCCTTTCTGCTCCTTTTGTAGGAAGCCCAAACTGAAAGCTAGTTGGCCAAACAGCACGCGCACCTCTCAGCACAACTGTCAACCCGTGAAGGTGGCTCGTTGCCGCACGGATCCTGGGTTTCCTTGTTTCATCAGAAGAGCTCGCTGCAGCCGCCGTGCGAGCTCTCGGTGTCCTCCATGCCCCTGCCGCTAGCGCAGGCAGGCAGCAGGGTGAAGGGTGAGAGCAAGGGCCAGTCCTGCAGGGACAGCGAGGGGAAAGTTAGCAGCGCTTGGCCCCCTACTGCCCTCTCACGGGGACAGTTTTGCTAGTTTTGCAGTTCCAGAATGCTTCCTAGGCTTTGAAATGGCAACCATTTCAGCTATCTTTTCAAAGGAATACAAAGTCTACAATCACAGGTTGCTGTTTTTTTCCAGGTCTCAAGGGAAATAAACTATATATATGCCGACATACTACATGCATACATATCCTTTGCACATTCTCGCACATGTGCATATACCTCCACATTTATGTCAGCATTCTCATTCCCTCTTACTCTTCCCTCCGAAACACCCTGACACTTTCGATAGTAATGGACATAACTTTATATTCTCTTAGACATCCATCATGAAATGAGGCAAAGTTTAGAAAGAAAGGATCCTGTCAATCCAAATCATAAGACTTTTCTCTAATGGTATTGACTTCAAATTCCACCTTATCCGTTGAAGAGAGCTAGATGTTTACTTAGTTCAGCCAAGGACAGAGGAATGGACCCAATGATCTTTTGAGGTTCCTTCCGATTCTAATCCATGTACGTTCTGTGAGTTTCTGTAAAAGACTTACTGTTTTTATCACCACTGGGCTCCAACACTTGATGTTCCTGAATCAAATTATCAGTTATGTCAGAACTGTCATTAGCCATGGGGTTACATGGACTAAACTGAGGGTTGCTGCCCAGAATCTAGCCTATGTCTTATGTTTTGATATGTCTATTTCGCTATCTTTCCAAATATCTGCTCCTTAAAGAGGTTGGAACTCTATTTGCTTGTCTTCAAACGGAAAATTTATTTATTTTACAAATGAGTATAACTCCTTTCTTTCTTTCTTTCTTTTTCTTTCTTTCTTTCTTTCTTTCTTTCTTTCCTTCCTTCCTTCCTTCCTTCCTTCCTTCCTTCCTTCCTTCCTTCTTTTCTTCCTTCCTTCCTTCCTTCCTTTCATCTTTCTTTCTTTCTTCTTTTTGAGTTGAATTTCTTATATACTCTCCATAACCTAGTGGTTCCGTGGAATATATTTCATTATATTTACTTAACTGTAATACCATATCCTTAAGATTTGATGTTCGGTTTGTGAGAAAATGTTAATTTATGAGAGATAGTGGTAACATAAAATAAAACACTGAGTTGAATCGAAGTAAGATAGTTGGAAAATAGGAGGATTATCTTTTGTTATTTTCTGCTTCTCACTTGCTTAGCAGGTGATCTATACTGTATACTATTATGAAGAAACAAATAGAAAAATCTATCTTCTTTGAAGTAGAAAGAGGAATTCTTTGAATATTTATGGGTCTCTTTACCTTTTTTATTCTACTAGTTATGTGGTTTCTGAAAATCTTAGAACTCTCATTTTCAATAATGGAATGGAAGTTAGAAAGACTATTCAAACAGGAAGATGCCATATCCTGTTTTGGAGAAAAAAAAATCTAAAATTGAATTGTAGCTGAACTGAATTTTTATCCATCGGAATAGAAAAATATGATTGATTGAGAAGATTGGAAATAAAGTGCCACCTGATCAAACTAGCTAATTAAGTAGTGTCATCCTGAGGCCTGATCAGTTGATTGTCTCTCCCTCCCCCATCCTTGATTGCTGATGCTGAAATGTATGTGTTTCAGAGATACAGGATTCAGGAACAGGAAACTGTAGGATGCAAATTCAAGTAGGCACTTTAGAAACTTAGTCTTTGGTCTTCTTTTCCTTAAGTGAAAATTGAATAATTGTCTGTTTTTTCTGACTTACTTTGAGAATAGAGAATTAAAGCAAAAATTTATTGTGATTGCAGAATAAATTATTGAAGGAATTTAATAATTCACTAATCTACAAAAGTAAAAATGAGACAAAATGGGCCCCAAGGTTTTCTTCATTCAATGTAGTCTGTTTTCATATAAGGTAAACATTCTTATGTATAGGAATTCTATTTGTTCTGGAGGCAAGGTGGATTATTTGTAAATCAGTACTGGAAAAGATGCCTTTGAATTTCAGGAAAGATTTAGAGAGCTCAGAAAGAGAACATACTGTTCTTCAGAGGTGTTACAATTCCATTTTTAGGTTTGCTTTCAAATACAGTTATAAGTTATGATAGAAAATGACAGAAAATTGAATATGGCAGTATTCAGGTGATTGATACAGAAGGAGCAAAAATGATTTTGCTGAATTATTCATACATATGTTTTAATCTGACTTTCTGTTTTCATCTCTTCCTTACGGGTCTTAAAAGATAGCGTACATCTGTATAAGTATATGGGATAAATTAAGTTGTGGACTGTTATTAATGTATATACATGTCAATGTATTTCAGTTTCTAAAGAGATTATTGCAAACATTCTAAATTAAAAGGCATTTTAAACAAAATTTCCAATATCATGTGGATACATATATTCTGAATAAGTACACTGTTGCTCGACATCACCTCTGGAGTTTGAGGTGATCAACTTTTATCGGCCACCCTTAAGAACAACTGAAAACAAGCAATTTAAAAACTCAATTTATCTTTGCAGTTCACTTTTTTTTTTTTTTGGTAAATGGAAAACCTTTTGGATTTGTGCTTGTAATTACTTCTTTTAGTCTTCTTTACTCCTTGCTTTGTCTTTTTGAGACAAGCAGATTAATTTGAATGCAATGCTATAGGATTTTTAAATATTTATTAAAAGTTATGAGTAGAACAGTGGAAAATAATTGTTTTAAATGTAAATAAGCTTCTTGGCATGTATCTCTAAAAAAGAAGCTGAAAACTGGTTTAACATAAATTTAGATTCTATGATTTTCTCATATAACTTGGACATTTGGACAGGTTTGGATGAAGTTGTGCTGTGAATAAAGAATGCTTGAAATGCATTGAAACAGAAGCTTGAGGGAGTCGGCTAGAGAGTACTAATATTTGTGCACTGCATTTTCTTTAATAAAAGTGCCACGTCTACTTGTATGCATAAACACTCATGAAAGTGCTCACAAAAATCAACTATATATAAACTAGATAGTCTATTTTCTATAGGTGATCACTTCGCTTTTTGAAATTATCCATGACTTTTTTTTTTTTAACCCCAGCCCAACTTTCTCCTGCTAGAGAGTAAATATCTGCGATTTCCTTTGGACATCAATTGACGCTAAGTGTAATCGGGAATGCAAATCATTTTCAAAATTTAAAGTTTCCAAAATAGAAAGATTTTGAAACAATCCACAGTAAGGTTCCTGTTCCTTCACTGTGAATAATAGAGAAATTGATAGTTGATACAAGTGGAAGGTGACCTTGTGAATAGCAAAAAAAGTATTTTAACGATAATCTATGAGCATCTATCATTTTATTTTTGTGTTAGAGGAGAGAGAGCAAGGGACAAGTTTACTTAAACTCACTCCAGCTGTGACTTTGACCCTACCAGAGTCTTCTTTAGTACTCCCCTGTAATGCAAACTTCTCCCAGGATGTTTCAAATCTTACAGTTTTTAAAGTAGAGAAAGCAATATAATAGAAAGGTAACTGATATATTCTGTTCTAGGAGAATATTGCCACTTCTTCTTCTTTTCCCAGCACAATCATTTTGAATGGATATTAAAATAACCTGTTAAATTATAGAGGTCTTTTATAAAATCAACGTATTTACATTTTAGACTCACTCTTTTCTGGCTATTCATTCTTTGATATTGATGTAACATCAAAGTGAATTACAATCTTATTTCTATCTGTGATTCCCTGATAGCCTTCTAAAGTCATTTTACTTCATTGGACTTCTAGTTACTTGTATTCATCGATAAAGGAGATAAAGCTGCTCCTAGTTAT